GTACAATGAGTATAAATCATAATAATGCGCATCTACATAACAATTAATTATCGTAATTTGCCACTCGAATAATCGCGCGATTATTCTTCATCGATATAGGGATTAACGTTTTCTCAGCTATACCGATAATTACCAGGGAATGAATCATTAACAATGTATTTCAGAGTATAAAGAATTACTCATTTATTTACAATAAAGGAATCGAAAGTAATTAGACATGCTAAACAGGCTCTTATTGACTTCCTTCTATCTAACTGAAATCTACGCTACTTATGTATTTTTGGAGCGGAATAATAGATCTATTTTTAGCAGCTAATTCTAATATTCTATTGATAATTTAACTGTATGCATCTGAATAAATCGAAGCATTTCTGTTAGTGAAATTTCACTAACCGTACTACCAGTGTCGAAATGTATGTAACACCGATAGTGAAATTTCACTACCCATGCAGCTGCGCTGGTGTTACCACTGATCGATTTGTGCTGCGGCACCGTGCAGAAATAAAGGAGAGAATACTTCACCGTTTATAGCGTAGCGTCACAGGATGCTTACAAGGAAAAATACCACTAGTTATTACAAAAAGCGGTTATTAATTTGTTGTCAATAAAGAACCAAGACATCCGATTTTATTGTAGTCCAATTCCACTCATTGTTACCAGCACTTCTGTCTTACAAAACATGATCCCACTACGAAGGGTGTTAGTAAACAAAGCTAATGTTGGTAGAGAAGCTTGTTCGAATACTTGCAATAAACATATTAAATTTGCTGTAACGTGATAAATTGGCATGCCATCTACATTAACACTTAGAAATACATGCGCAGCAGAACTATAGATTTAATTATAATATCCCGTTGCTATATAACAACCATCGCATACTTTCTATCAGAAAATAGTATGGGACGCAAAGATGTCAGAAAGCTCAAAGAATACTTTTGCGGTTTAAACTTGAAAGCAGGCTCTTTAGTGAAGGGTAAACCAATTTATTGTTTCAACCGCTTCCTAAGTAATTGTTTGCCCATATACTTTTTATTAATAAACAGTCTGAACATCAAGGATTGAGCTTTCGATTCACGCCTAAATCAGGAAGACCGTTTACTGTTAACGGTAATGATACGGCATAATGAATGAATCGTGTCTAGAATCTCTTTTGCTTTTTGTCGCCGCGCCCTTCTCGCTCTCTTTAACTAACTAGTGGTTGGAATAATTCAATCATTGTCGATTAAATATATGCGCAATTTTTTATTCCTCTGACATCGTATCAGCGAGTTTTTTGTGGATGATGCAAGCGATACAGCAAGTGTCGCTGCCGGTAATAATAACTAAAATAACTTGGTAATACGTTCAAATGTACCATATACTCGCACGCTATTATTTTACTCATTTTACCTGACTTTACAGGACGTAAAGGATTAATTGTTGCCACCCTTGCTAAAAAACTCTACGATCTATTCGGGATGCAAGTGCCCAAGGATTTCCATGCAAAAGACCATCCGCGTGGACGTCAAAAGCGACTTCTACTATGCTACCATCTTGGCGATGGATACTTTGGAGGCATGACATTTAAGATTAATATCTTCCTTCTCCAGAAAGCGGTACGATGAACATTAATACAATTATTCGGTAATTTGTAAGATCCTACAGCACCATTCTTTTCGAAAAATACAGTCAATTAGCTTCAAAACGGTACCAAAATCATTGTGGGTTACAAAGGCTTATATGGACAATAGAGATTTTCGAAAATAAAGGGGTTTCATATGCTTTAGTAAAATTTCGTCTTGCACTTATAATTTCGTCAGGGGGGTGTAGACGATGAAGGTTGTCATTTTGTATCATTGACTCTTGCGTAATACACACCTACATTGCCCGTAAAAAGTTGTGGGAAAACATGCGTCAAAAAACAACCCCTTTTTTTTGCAACCAAAAATACATTATCATATGAATTAAATGTTATAGTAGTGAGTTAAAGTCGTTCTAGGAAGTTAAATGAATACGTAGCTCCCAACGTCCAAGTGAATAAAGATATATTGGTAATGAATGTGACATGCGGAAACACCTCCAAATTAACATTACTATTACTCAGAAATTACTGCCAAAACAGTTGATGCCGATGTCATGTTGCCAAACGCAAAAATCGCTCAAATTTGAGTAACCATATTATCATATGAGCTGTGGTGAACTATTCTAAAATTAATGATCGTATTCTATGATCCACTGACCTATCTATTATAGCTAGATAGCAATGCTATATAAACAGTGCTTCAGAAAAACTTACAAGCTAATAAAAAAAAATCACGACGCACCCAAGACTATTATTCGCTGATCAGGACTCTGTGGAAGTGTTGATGCTTCATAATGTCTCCAGCCAAAAGCGATGATGATGTTATCCCCATCATCGTTAACGTAGTGCCATCACCTAATGAACAGTACAAAGCATCACTTGTTATTCTGGGAATTACCTGCGCTAGTTGTGTATCGATAATCGAGAAAACCATCAAATCACTTCCATCAGTTGTCGCTGACTCGGTCTCTGTAAACCTACTCACCGGAGACACTCGTTTTGTTTTCACGGATTCAACTCTCACTTCATCCGTAATTAGGGATACGGTTGAGAGCATAGGATACGATGTGGAGTCAGTTACTGTTACTCAACACGAATTCAAGCACATGTCGCTTGCTTCTTCAGTTTTCAGCAGAGCTAGCAAACCCAAAGGTGACGATGTTGATTTATCCCCTGTAACCACTCGATTGGCTATTACTGGAATGACCTGCGCTTCTTGTGTCAAGGTTGTTCAAGACACTTTGCAAAAATTGCCAGGAGTATTAACAGCTACTGTCAACTTGTTACTAAATGAAGCTTCGATAGAACACGAATTACAACTTGCCGGGCCTCGCGATTTGATAGATGCAATCGAGAGTGTGGGCTATGAAGCTAAATTAATAATAGCACAGACAAATAGAAACTTGATACAAGAGAGAGCAAGAAAGCAAACCCAACTACTCAAAAAAAGGTTCCTTCTTTCTCTCGCTGCCGCAATTCCTACATTCGTCATATCAATGGTTATAATAATGTGGCTACCAGATGACCATCCAATTAAAATGAAATTTCGTACTGAAATTATACCCGGTTTGGATGTGGCTACCGTTATTTTGTTTGTAATAGCCACTCCCGTTCAATTTTATCTTGGAGCTCCATTCTATATGAAAGCATACAAGTCACTGCGCTATGCTCATGTGGCTAACATGGAGACGCTTGTTGCTATTGGAACATCTGTCTCTTATTTCGGATCCATCGCCACCGTAATGATAGCAATTTCTGAGAAAAGTAAAAATTATGGAGGCGAATTCTTCGAGACATCTGTGTTTTTAATTACATTCATATGGTTGGGCAAATTGATGGAAGTTATGGCTAAAGGGAAAACATTTGAGAGTATCACCAAATTAATGGAACTACAACCAGAAAAGGCAACATTAGTGGAGGTAGCAGAAAATAATGAAGAAACCGAAAAGGAAATTGACTTTGAATTAATACAAGGTAAAGTAAACCAAATGTTAAAGGTTGCTCTGTAACGTTAGTTAATAAACGGCTCAAGTTTATAATTCCCTCTTTTTTTTTTAACCGCGTGTGTGCAGTCAACGATATTCTCAAAGTCAATGCTGGAGCAAAGTTTCCCTGCGACGGAGTAATTACTCGCGGCATCGCTACTATTGACGAGTCAATGCTTACCGGTGAACCAATTCCAGTCGTTAAATCCCTAGGAGACCAGGTATTCTCTGCAACGCTCAATCTCAACTCGACGACTTGGATCCAAGCGACACACGTTGGAACAGACACCACACTTGCCCGAATTATTACTCTTATACAAGAAGCACAAGCATCAAAAAAGGCACCAATCGAAGTATTAGCCGATAAAATATCACAATATTTTGTTCCAGCTGTGATACTAATTGCAACGATTGACTTTTTAATATGGCTTATACTCGGAGCGCTCAACGCGTTTCCCAAAGAATGGATACCAGAAAGTCAGAGTTATCCAGTGTTTGCGCTATTCTTTGGTATTTCCGTATTGGTTATTGCCTGTCCATGTGCAATGGGATTGGCATCTCCAACTGCCATAATGGTCGGCACAGGAGTAGCAGCTAAATTTGGAATCCTAATTAAGGGAGGAGGAGAAGCAATACAAATGGCCAGCCGTATTAATACCATTGTATTTGACAAGACTGGCACTCTAACACGTGGGAGACCGGCGGTCGTTAACTGTAGATTATTCATCAATCGCGTACGTAGTGATCGACGTACGTTGCAGCAAAGAAAACTGATACTACAGATTATCGGATTAGTCGAGTCAGCAAGTAATCATCCACTCGCCCTCGCCGTTTGTCAAATGACTACCCGCAAGCTTCAAGAAGAGACAGAAACCGATGACGTTGTATTGGATGCAGCAACAGAAGTGCCTGGAAAAGGACTGCAAGCCACCGTCAGTGTAACATCCCTACTATCGTCCACACTTATTCCATGCAAGTCATGCGTACCTGCTCAAACTACAAAATATAATGTCTGTATCGGCAGTTACGAATGGGTTAAATCCCTTGGTTTTTGTTATCCGCCTGGCTTGTCTGAAGAAAGTACAACTGAACAAATCCAAAAATGGCGTGAACAAGGGCAGTCCATTGTTGTAGTGGGTGCTACCATGATGAATGAAGTAAGCGGTTCGAGCGCTAATCTGATTATTGCTCAATTTGGAATTGCCGACACTATTCGCACAGACGCTGCCTATACGGTGAATTGGTTGAAAGATAAGGGGATAGATGTATGGATGATTACCGGCGATCATCCTACTGCAGCCAATACTGTTGCCAAACAATTAAACATTGATAACGTCATTGCTCAAGTGACGCCCGAGAACAAGGCAGAAAAGGTTAAATGGCTTCAGCGACGGATAAGAATAGTTGAATCTCCGCAAACCATGGGAAAGAAGACAACAAAAGAGCTTGATAATGGTGGTTATGCAGTTGACAAGACCAGCAACGAGAGGCCAGTTGTAGCCATGATTGGAGATGGAATAAACGATTCGCCAGCGTTGGCTCAAGCCGATCTAGGAATATCAATCGCATCTGGCACAGACATTGCAATCGAGTCGGCTTCCGTTATCCTCGCTCGATCTACACTCAAGTCACTTACGACAATGATACAGTTATCTCAGGCGATAATCAAAAGAATAAGAATTAATTTTGTGTGGGCGTTTTTGTACAATACTATTGTTATTCCAATAGCAGCCGGAGTATTCTTTCCTTTATCTAAGAAGAGTTTGCCGCCCGAATTGGCCGGTTTGTTAATGGTCTGTAGTTCAGTTAGCGTTGTATTAAGTAGTTTACTGCTAAGAAAATTCAGAGAGAAATAATTATAGATAGTTGTTTCTTTTTGTAAACGTCTAATGATAATGATAATGATAATGATAAGTAATAGCTGAATATAAATAGTATGGTAGACTTAAATAACAAATAAAATAGTCTGCGTTTTAGCAAACTCTAAATCGGCTGCCCTCAAGAGTTACTTTATTACTAATGCCAACGAATGTAGGTTACGTGTATCATTACAAATCTTATTATCCGCAGCACATCTCAGCCCTATCTTATCGGCTGACTAATTTTGGAGACCTGGATGGAATAGTAATAGTACCGTAGTACAGTATGTGCTACATGATGTTCCACAAGCAGTAGAGTAGTACACAACATACTAATTCAAAAAGTTTAACGGCGAAATAGATTATCAATGCCGAGATCAAAAGTATCGTAATCTCACCCGTGCATCAAATTACAGTGGATACCGAAAAGTTTGTGAAAACGAAAACTTTTTCATTGTTGTATTTACAATAAGCAGCAATGCTTTTTACATTGATTTGAAGTGAATTGCTTGTACTTTTTGAAATAAACCCATTGTTATAAGACAATCAATTTGCTTCAAATCAATGTAAAAAGCATTGCTGCTTATTGTAAATACAACAATGGACAAAGGTTTTCGTTCATTTCTATGTTTGTAATCGTGCTGTTTCTTATTATTCAGCAATACTGATACGTCATAAAGATTACTAATCTGTATTGTTTCACAAAACATTCCCGATACACGTTAGCTAACTTAAATATTTGTTGTGACACCACAGTTGGTTTATATATAAACGACCGATGAAAAGTCGAGATTGAATTAAGAGCATTTTCTGGTTCTGAATAAAAGTTAATCTGCTTACACAATGACTATCGCCAATAACCGCCCTCAAGATGTATATAGCGCTCTCAAACAAACAGACGAGGCTGTGAAAAATCTCGAATATGAAAAATATGCCAAAGTGGCACCTGAAGATTCGGTTGCTCGCACCAAGGCCGCACTTGAAGCCAATGGGTTTACCGTCCACGTAAAAGACACTAGAGAAGAAGCTCGTGAATTGCTAAAGACAATTATTCCAGCTGGTAAATCTGTCAACAACGCTCATTCTACTACATTGGAAGAGATTGGATTCATCGAGTATCTAAAGGGTGAGACTGGCTGGGACAATGTACACAGCAAAATATTGGCCGAGACCGATTTTGTAAAGAGTATGGAATTGAGAAGGACTGTCGGAGCTACAGTCGACTACTATCTATCTGGTGCATCTGCCGTTACCGAAGATGGAGCTATCGTAAGTGTATCGAACATATTATCAATCATATATGTCAGGTGCATGTGCGTTCTACAATCAATCCTAATAAAAATTTGTATACTTTGTATAGGTTGGTGTTGATATGAGCGGTACCCGTGTTGGTGGATGGCTTGTCGCTGCCAACCTGATAGTCGTGACTGGTACCAATAAAATAGTAAAGGACCTACCCGATGCAATCAAGAGGGTCGAGAAATACGCATATGAACTGGAATCTGCTCGTGTGCGAATTACCTACGAGGGGGTACCAAGTTCCACCATAGCCAACTATGCAATTATTAAAAAAGTTTCATACAATAGAGTGACAGTTGTGCTTATCAACGATGTATTAGGATACTAAGTGAACAAGCGATAAATGCTGTATTTTATTAACAATTGTGTTTTTTTTTCTTTGCGGTAAATAAAATGCAAAGCCCAAGCTATTTATATCAAACCACCAAGTGTTATATATTTATACTTTACAAAAAAGAAATGACAATAATGACATAACGCCTATGGATCGTCATTTTAATGACATCAGTTTCCCGGTATCCCTCTTTTGTGCATAAAATCTTATCGATCGAACCGAGCAGTGTCTCTCGTTTATTTCGCGTTTGACTTCTTGGGTTATCTCGTCCCATTTCTCTGCACTGATATTGTATCTATTAACAGACGTTCGCAATGTTTGGTAAGCCGCAGCCACATTATCAAGATACTATATCGAAAAAGAGTAATGGTTTTTTATTAGCGTTAGCTTTTTTTGAAAGTTTGCACGCCAAGCATCAATTTGTGTGACATGACAATCTTACCATCTGCGATAAGTTTCCTCCCCAGGTCCCAATTGGTATTTCTCGAGGTTCAGCTGTCAGTTCCTCAAAGCAACCAACTGTATCTATGTAATCCGGCATCAATTCTGTTAAATTCATAGGAATACCCAAATCTTCTAATATTCCGCTGGCTAATAAAGAAAAAAGACAAGGCAATTTATTAACCACAAATACTACTCGTAGCGCATCGCATGTGAACCCTTGTCTTGTCGTTTACTCTACCTTTATCTGCATAATCCGTCGTCAATGGCCCCATATCAGATAGAGACTGGTCGCATTCCATCAACTCGAGCCATCCACCCGGTTTTAGCACTCTCGAAAGTTCTCTCACTATAACATTTTCCCATTGGTCTGATGTAAACGACAAATACATCATTCTCATAAATACAAAGTCGAATGTCCCATCAGGAAAGGGAAGTCCGTCGATTGCGTTGCGTTGTATGAAATGAACGTTCTTTGGTTTGATTTCAGTGGGGAACATTGGCGAAATATCGATACCGGTGAAAAAGCATGTCGGATATTCTGTTGCCATTTCCAGTAACCATGTTGCCGCGCCGCAACTAGAAAAAATGAGGAAGATCGAATAAATATCAGATTGCAATTCTCACATGCACATAATGTGACAACACTGTTGTGTAACTGTAGGACAAGCAAGACAAGCAATAAAAAGTATATCCGAATGTTTGGACTAACCATAACAAACACAACTAATGCAATGCCAGTAACCTATTTACATACCCCACATCTAGAACTCTCGCCCGTCCCTGCTTTAGCATTTCCTCAACTGGTGCGGAGCAATTACTTCCATAATAATATCGATAGGTATAATGTTGAAGATGCAATCTGTCCACCTCAGCATCGTCAATCGGAAGACGATAGATTGCATTGTTGCTCACTAGATACCGTCTGCCGTCGATGACTTTATACATTGGGTTGACGTTGGTAGCTCTGCTTGCATAGGATTCCGTAGACACCGAGTTAAGTGGTAGTCGCTTTTCCTTTGGACTATGATGCTTTCTGCCCTTTGACTGATGTGTCCCCATTATTGATGATTTATTGATCTCTGCAGTCTGCTATTGTCAGGGAGGTCTGGTTGGGTTGTTAATAATTACAAATAATGACTTATTTACAAGAAATGTTTGGTGTGTGAATGCAAGCAAACAGCGAGGGTGTTTATATATGTGTGATCAGGAAAAAAGACGTTGTTCATGTCTAACATGCGGGGAGACTTCTAATTCCGTATGAAATTTAACATTGCATGGTAGCCTAATACAAAGAAATCCTCATCTCGGCTGTAACCAAGTAGTACTAATCCATAAATGTACAGATTGTTATTGTAGTATCAATCGAAACCCGAGTGGGGGTGACATTGCCCCATACTAACTGTTTTACCATGGGCAAGTGTAGTGTTATTGGTGTAAAGATAACTGACGACTCGTGTAATAAAAGATGATTCTCTTATGCATAGCCAATCGTGTATGATGGCGTGTTGGTCTATCAACCCAATTTTAAACAATTAGCGTGATTGATGTCTGTAGTCATATGACTGATTCTCGGTTAAATTTGTCCGGCATGTTCTCATGTGAAAGTTTTACTGAATGCAAAAACCACAAGTTCGAAAATGGTAAAGTTTCTGTCTGCACTCGTACCTTCTCACGATATGCTGCTGGTATGTACATGTGCTTGAGCTACACAGCAGGCGTCATAACATCTGCAATGGTTTGGAGAGCAGGACTCTTTTCACGATCAGGTAACGGTACCCGAATGCACGGAATCACAATGTATGAATTAATTAATACTTATTCTTTTCAACTTTATGCTTATCATACAATACAGTCTGATACGTTCATGAAACTTGATCCGTCTAAAAGTCTTTCAAGTGAAGCTCACCTTATGTGCATACTAATACCCCACACTATTATTACGCTAAGCTTAAAACGAGGTTGCTTCCTTTTATGACAATTACGTTGTGGGGGAGCAACAATCACCTGATGGTATCATATCATTATCAAATTCGTATTAAGCAAATCCCTTCTGTTGCAAACTTCTTTTTTTGTAATCAAGTTCATTTATCCTTTAATAACCGAATTAACATACCCGGGTTACAAGACTACTCATTAACCATGTACTCAGTGGTCACTTAAACCGCTATTCAACTTTTGATTATTGGCTAAATAAGATATGTATAATAATAACGAATCCAGATTAATTTAACAAGCACTCGTCAACACCGTCTCATTTGCTCACTCATTTCCTGAAAGCAAGCTTGCTTATCAGTTTATCTTATTCCCATACGATCTCAATCACATAACCTTTCCAAGTAAACATACTGTCTGTCAGGGGACTGTATGTTCTCGACCCCGCAGATTCAAAAATACTTTCACGTAAATTGATTACCCGTGAACCCCTGCAAGGAATAAAGGGAAAAGAAGCTTCTTATATTTCAAATGGCTGTTTTAATGAATAACTATACAGTATGTATCGTTCGATTCGAAGTAGGAATGTTATCGAACCATTAACTGCGGAGCATCTATATACATAAATGGTTAAGACAACACCGATCCGGGAGGTCCGTGTGTTGATTACATATTAATTAATTCTTTAAGTTTATTGTTTTACTACGGTGACCAAAAGTGATATTAAATATATTGTTTAGCTAGTTTCAGGTTCTAGTACGTAATCTCTGTCACGACATGACAAAAGCTAATATAAATATCGTTCCTAATCAGTAGTGACGTGTTCCTCTCGCTATGACAAAGACGGTCTGACAAGATGCGTAAGCGCTGACAAAGTTGCCACATCGGGACAATTTAATTTGAAACTTTAAATCACGCCACATCCTTCGACGCTTGATTACTAATTTCTTTCGACTTGCAATCAATAGTGAGGCAATTCTCTATACTCTAGCAAGCAAAGCATATTCAAACACTCATTTAAATGTAACGATAGTCTTGGAAGGGCAAAACCAGTCAGCATCCTGTGAACCTAGCCATGGGGATGATTGGAATGAGCTCGTGAGCCTAAACCATAATGGCCAGGGTTCGCATATTATGAGACTAGGAAACTTCCCCGTCAGTACAAACCCTGTTGTACCTTCAGTGGAACTTATGAGTACTCTGGAAGGAAGAGAGAAAAAGGAAAAGTCCCTGCCATCACATATCGACTATAGAAATATGTTTCCAAGTATACGTGCAGGTAGGTAGGGCGTGACACATACAGCATTTAAGATAACTCTCCAGTTTATCCTGTGGCAGATTTCTATAGTTATCTACTGTATCTGTTATCAGTAGCAACACTGTAAACAAGTAGTATTTTTTAATAGTGGTCAACTGCAAGTGTGCCTAATAAAGACCACCAAAAAGTCAAACACTCATTTTATCGGTAAGAGTGATCGATTCATTCACTGCTATTTAATCGCGTCATAAATAGTACACATCGCATTATAAGCTTCTGGTTTACTCCCACTAGTATAGGAGATGAAGTGGTAATGGTAATGTCAACAAAATTGATACTGAAATTGCGAGTTGCAATTCCAGGGAAGGGAGGGTTTCTATAAGGGATACAATCAGGAATCTCATTATACCTCCACAATATCTTCGTCCGCAGGGTGATTATTTTTAAAGGTCGAATAACGAGTCGCTCGCACATAATTGCGTTTCTGCTTGTGATGGTCGAGGCGTTCTTGGTTAATTTCCTTATATTGCTGCAACACTCAATGGCAGACAAAAATACAGCATTTCTGGTTTAATTAACAGGTTTAATCGATAACAGATGCAAACTTGTAATTAACGGCAATAAAAACAAAGTGGCCTAATTGTCTAGTAATGATTACTGATAAGCATAAAAAAGGGAATTACGCTCTAAACTTTGCGTAACCCCCGTCTACGTTCTATTCGATCATCGATGTATTGTGGTCAATGCATATTTGCAAATGCTTCTCATACAATTCATTGTGCACAAAAATTTTATGCGTCTTGTTATTACTTCCCGGACGATTGAGCATTTCGTACACGTGAGAATGACCAATGTCAGGGGGTGTCTTGTGTCACTATAAATTATGTAATTTATTACCAAACACACTGAACGCATTGAGATTGGATATCCCGTGTCATGTGTGATGGCCTAAGCAATCGGTTTGTTTTTTTTTCGATTAATTCTGGAAATCGACGTTCTTATTGGTATAGTCAAGATATATGAAAACCATAGTAATAAATAAGGTAGCAGTCCGGGGAAATGGCATCCGTTCTCAACGATACCAATAGACGCCGAGTCAAGTAATCATACTTGACCAATTACTCAAACTCTTTGATTGTATGCCAACTATTCTAGCCGATAAACATGGGGTTTTATTAAAGGGGGTTTATCCAAATGAGAGAGTGTAACAGAAGAAGCCAATATCCAGCTAGCACATATGCATATTTTTCTCACGCATTATTATAGCGAGTGAAAACAGTAAAATTTAGTTTCATGTAGAATGTAGTAACTTCATTAGCATTAGTATTAGTGCCTGATTTCAAGCCGCTTAAACGATCGTAGTTTAGAGTTTTGGACGCAATAGTAATAGCTTCAGACCGTCACTAGAAGACATCTCCAAGACATAAAACCTTGCTTGTCGCTGGTTTTCTATTTTTAAAAGCCAAATTAACGAATAAAGGTCATCACGTCCAGGCGTATAGCCATTACTGTTATCCCTACGAAGCTTGCATTACACTCGCCATGACAATACCAAGAAATTCTGCCGAATAGAGATGGTCCAGTTAGAAAGCTTGAATTCGATTAAAGCCAATAAGTCTACGTCCTTCTATGGCCCCCCCTCATCTTGTTAGCTTTGGCGTTCAATCATAGGTGTCATTATTAATAAACAAAATTTACATCTCTCTTATTAATAATGAGGACAGCTTTATCATATTTATTATGTAAGAGTTAGTCAAATTTATGCGAATAACAAGTCCCTGCGTTATAGTGTAAATGATGTATAATTAAATATACAGGCATTGATCTTATAAATAACGCATCTGCCCGTCGCTGATTTCACAAGCAGAACGGAAAGCCAACAAACTCTTTTTTTTCATTTGTACATATATACCAAGCTAGTCACTTAAACGTTAGATCCGGAAATTGTTCTTATATTTTGTAATAGCTGTTCTCGACTCTTCTTGATTCTTTACCCTCTTTTACTTTTTACTGTAAAGCTGCAAAATGGTCGATGTGGTGATAAGCTCTCTTGCCATAATTACCTTCATGTCCCTCATATGCGCTACGATAATGGCCATAGCATTCGCTCGTGCGAGAAATCCAATGATGGTCATCTTCTCAGCGACCATTGTGTTTAGTAACGCAGTGGATGTTTTGGGGGGGTTGATATATAATTTCGATTGGGATAGCGCTCCCGAAGGAGTTTGCTATGCGCAAGCAATGGCGGTAAGTTTCAGGTACAAAATTCGGAGTTAATATTTAAATGCAGCAAATGCAGCCCATTTTACACATTTCATTTTGCACTACAAATAGAGACAATTGGCGGGTTTTTCATTTTGGACTAGCGGATTTTGCTTCACCGTTCAAGCATACCGTCTTATTGCTTACAATAAAAGAGACGACAGGTTTAATCGGTATTGTTACGGACTTATAGCCACGTTCTGTGTGGTCGGAACTATGCTGGTAACCATTATATCAATCAAGACAGAAGCTGTAAAGAGTGGAAATTATCGTTGGTATGTATTTCATTCAATATACGAGCTTTAATTATTGACAGATTAGCAATGCTACACTTATTCACTGCTGTACGATCTTTTTTTTTTTTTTTCCTACGTCGCCAGTGATATAGCCAATCCAACTTGGGTTCGTCTGATGGGAGCCAATGGTGTAAGTTTGCTATTAGTTCCTGCAAGCACGTATTTCTCCCTCGGCGCGGCGTATGCGGTAATTCGCCATTTGGGCCGATTCGTACGATCGGACGCTTCCAAAAACAGTACGACGCTTGCACTACAGTCTACCAAAAAATCGACGACAACAACAGCAACAACAACAACTGATATTGAAGCCGATCATCCACAAATGTTATCGGATGGACAAAGCGATTATCGCACAAGTAGCGATAATTTGACGATGCCGATGAACGCATTACAACAACTAGACAAGATTAAGGTACAGACAACAACAACAACAACAACAACAACAATGACGACGACGATGACGACAGATATTACCGAGCCCGTTAATGGCGAAAATAAACCTGACGCTATCGTGCAAGTTAGAGATGTGCTAGAGGGTCCGAGTAAAATCCGGAATAATAATAACGTCACTCGAAATGCTGCCCTCCGTATGGTTTCCTTTGCCATTGCATACTTTCTTTTGAATCTGTTGACCTCCATCGGGACCGTTATGGACACTATTCAAAACGTACCATTTGATCCACGTCCAGATTGGTCTGACTTTGCCGGTCCAATGATCGCATTTGTCATTTTGTTGATTTTTGGAACTGCTTCTGACGCTAGGCGATGGTTTGGTGAGAAATTAAGAAACATTTTTAGAAAGTAAAGGTGTATTTTGAGACGGATAAATATATTAATATGTTTAGTGAGTACTAAAGTGTTACTATAGACAATAGAATACAAGCCTTTTCAATTTACACATTATCCGATTCTATTGATAACTGTACTGTATAAGCATAATAACCATAGCTCATGTCGGATGCTGTATGTGTAATTAAGAGTTTAACTTGTATGCATTATTAGAAAAAGAGATTTTGTATCCCCCTTTGAATACGTTAATAAAGAGACATGGCACATAAGTGCATATATGCGAGAATCAACAATAATGCTTGTTGTTCAATTGTGCCTTTTTCATAAAATTCAATCACTGCAACGGGAGATAAGGTTGTTGTTATTATTATTATGGCTTATCCTATTCATTTACTACAGTAATGATATATCTTTGTGGACAGTATTACAGTAAATTAAACATTTTTCTCTTTAAAAGTTATTGCCTGTATACCACATGCGAATGTATTACAAACTTGACATGTGCCGTGTATGTCAATTCGTTACTAATGCAGATTTCGTTTGTTGGTAGAGGATTTGAAGTTTGTGACTAATAATGCATATTAATACAGTATATTAATTTCATTAAGCATTTAACATTAACACCATCGGTTGTTCCATGTCCTTGCATCTTCATTGTTTCTATTCTATTCTGTATAAATAATTACGGTTTTTAGCCCCTTGTAATACTTATACTGATGTGCCAATAAAAAGACATTGACATTCGGTGCAACGTTAACAAGGTTCAACAAAAATAACGTTTTCTGAACAGACACTTTACGTAAGCTAATGAAGGATGCCAAGCGATTACTAACGTTCGCCGACATTTGTTCTTCTTTGTTAAGCAATAGTCAACTGCTTAATAACCACGTTGATACATGCACAGGTTTAGGTAAATCATACGCTGGCCCATGTTTAATTCCTGGTGACTTTCATGTCTCTGAGCTATTCTCTGCTTTAAAGCTTATAGGCCGACTCTTAAATTTCTGGTAAGAAGAGTGCAAACACGTATGCGAGTATGAAAACCTTAGAGCCTTGTTGGTCTTACCAATCTCGCATGTTGATGTATCAGTTGGCAATAAAGTTAATGAATATTTTTAATACGTACTGTATGCAACTCATACCAGTTAACGTCACAATTGTCCGTGCATACATAATTTTTAATTGTATATCGGTTTTATGTGTTTTCTTTTTCATCACTACCTCTTTGCCTTAATATTGTTAATGTTGATAAAAAATACATATTTTTTCTTTTTTAAATCCACAAGTTCGTATCACAAAATAAATGTAATAACCATCACAGACTCATTACCGCGCGTTGCAGTCGTATCGTTTACATCCCTAATTGTGTAACGCAATTATGGGCATTTGAAAATGCTGTATGTTCGTTTGGAATTTATGTCAATTTAGACTTGACAACAGAGAACCAGGTAAACAATACTATTTCACATAACTAACTGAAATTGTTACTATAAAATATTTGACTCAATATAACCTATGCACGTATTAATCAGTGAGATCTTGCGTATAGAAAGTAGTGAAGAATCATTAGCTTAAACATCGATTTGAAGTCCCTGAAATTCATAAATCTCACGCCTAGTCGTTCGAACAACAAAATAGTATAATGAACTGCTATGCGCTTACACATACCAGCTCGTAATTGTTTATGAGAACAATATTGCTTTGACTTGTTCATATCAAAACTGCCATCAAGGACCTCTAAACATCTGAATTCAATTCTATGCCTCAAACAAATTTAGGGGATGAAACCAATAGAATTGAACTTGATGAAACATTGGAGTCGCGTTTAATAATTCGACACTCTTTGTCAGCGTAAGTATTGAAAAGACAAACATTATTGCTGGCAATGAATGATTAGCTTGCTACACATTTTTTATTAGTGACTGGAAATTATCATATGCGTACAAGATTGCATAAGTATTATACTAAACAGACATTATTGACATAGGATAAGACAAGACTGAAGTAAACCGCCAATTACATGCAACAATTTCTATCCATATTTTGTGTTGGAAGCAAAGTTACCACTCATTTACACTAGCATTTTGGAAGCTACGTTGATAAATGCTTTTTTATAGTACGTGAACATTACCAAGTCCAATGTTTCCTTCCTTTTTTTTGCCCAGCTGCCTACTCCATTCCACCTCTCGAATAACACCGTAATCAGTAAAAAGCGTCTGCTCCAGCGTCAACCATTTCAGCACCCATTTGTTCAGTAAAGCCATGAGTAGTGGTGAGAAAAAAGAAACCGTGATATACAGCTATGCATATGGTAAATAATCACGTATGGGTTAAAAACCAACCCATCAAAAGTCCATAATTTATGATATTAAACTCATGATCCACTGATGGTTAATGCCGTCGTCGTTGAGTGTTAGACGATCAAACGATAGTAGGAAATTAGCGGTATAACTAAGTGCTGTAAAACTTTAGTTCAACTTTAATTTATTGTTACCTTAATGCCGCAATTGATTTTGAATTTGAAAGGTTGGTTCATTTTATATTTAATAATGGAAACTTACTTACCTTAAAGCAGGTTCAAACAAATTACTATCCAAATTTATTTTTCAGCAAGACAATGCCAGTTTATACATCGAAGGTTGCATAAGAGTTTCTGCAATTCCAAAACATCAGGGTACTCAATCCAATTGAAACTTGGGGGCTGCAATTGAGGTAAAAGTTCGAAACCACAATCGAGTAAAGTGTGGTATATGATACACGTTTAGGGCGATATTGCTTCGATCTGTCGATTGGAATGGAAAAACACATCCGAAATGTTATAATAATCGCGTCCACCAATGAGCCACGAAACTCTGTACGAGTAGATTCGACTACATGACCTCGATTCTTTGTACGTTTATTATAGTTGATGACGTATATCTCATTGTTATCAATCACAGGTAACAAACAATACAATATCTACCAGCTTAGTATTACGTTACATTCCTTCATGTAGAAATTATCCTGTAAAACCAAATTTGTCATTTTAATTTGCACACATAACATTTACTGCGCATGGCATTGTTATAGACAAACGCAACCAATGTCTGTGATACAAAAGAAATTTGATATGCTTACGAGTAACTCTAATTGGATAAAATGGTTGCAAGCCAAACTGCTTGTTTTCAAACGTAGTAAACCCACAACGCACATATAATGAGACTGCCTCCTATTCTGAAAGTGCAATTAACTGCGCAAACAGCATTTACTATTACCTTACAAGCATCAACGATAAAATGGTATCATATTATGGATTGATCTATCTTCTTCCCGAAACATGCGAACCAAAGCCTATTCCTTTGCAGAATGTCAGCGTCGAAGCAAACGGTAATTACAATGATCAAGTCCGGAACGCATTTAATCAAACCTTTTTCTAATGCCTTTTATCTAATTATGTAGTGGTTGATATGATTGCCGAGGGTAATTATGCTATACTCAACTGTCAATGAAACGGAAACTCCCTTTCTCAAACATACTCACTGTATTTTTTCCCCCGACCCATGATTCTTTCCTAAAGTCACCATAACTCAGACTTACAAGAACGAAGAACAAAAGACAATCGAAGCAATCTACAAGTTTCCAATTCACGATGCCGCAGCAATTTGCAAGTTTGAAGCCGAAATCGATGGCAATCGCAAGATCAAGGGTATTGTCAAAGAAGCTCAGCAGGCTGCCGAGGATTATGATAAAGCTGTGGAGGTGCATATCAATGAATATTATTAGCATAGCGTATATATGCGCGCTTGCAAGTTGTTGCTTTGCGTCTGCAGATACGCATCCCAATTCTCATTATAATGGGCGCAAGTTGCTGACTGACCTGTTTACTTCTTTAATTAGAGCGGTCATGGTGCATACCTCCTTGAGGAAGAACTCCCTGACGTTTTCCAATGCTCAATCGGCAACATTACGCCAAGACAATCCATTAAAATCATCATAACGTACGTAACCGAACTTAAGCAGGATGCTGATTCCGATCAAGTTCGTTTTGTCTTGCCTACCGCTATTGCGCCTCGCTACGGCGAACCGCAGAGCAATTCTGGATTTACTATTGCAAAGAAATTACTCAAGGGTAATCCGAAATACTCGAGCGCAGCACTATATACATTAAGCATGAAAATTACGTGTCGTATGACGGCGAGTTTGTTGAGTATCGAGTCACCTACGCATAAGATTGCGACCAAGATTAATTTGGATGGAGATCCAAAAGTTTGTAGAGTTGAACTCGCCGAAAAGATAACCTACTTGGATAAGGATTTCGTGTTGGTTATTAAGAGTAAAGATTTGGATCAATTTAGGTATGGATTAGGAGAGACGGTGTGAATCAATAGGGATTGGTAATGAATGAGAGGTATGGTATACATGTTTATCTAATTGATGATTTCGTCTCTTTTACGTAGGGCGTTCACCGAATATAATCCAAAGACAAAGACAAATTGCACCATGTTGACACTTGTTCCCAGGATTGAAATTGAACCCGTGCAGACAGAAATGATTTTTATTGTGGACAGGTAATGCTTGTGGTTATATTATCTTCCGTTCATCTGTTGTGTCTATTTATATTAAATTTTAACTCGTTTTCAGATCTGGTTCGATGAGCGGCGCTCCAATAGCTAAGGCTCGACAGACACTCGAATTAATCCTTCGCTCCCTTCCATCAGACTGTTTTTTCAATGTGGTCTCCTTTGGCTCCACTTACTCTGCTTTATTCGAAAAATCCGTACATTACTCCGAGACTTCCTTCAACACCGCCATCCAACTCGCCCAGAGCATGAATGCCGACTTTGGGGGTACCGAGCTCTTCACAGCTCTAGAATGGGTATTGGGAAATACGAACAAGGAACTGCCTACGGCCGTGTTTCTATTGACCGACGGCGAGGTTTGGAATGTAGATGCAATCGTCGAGTTGATCGAGAAGAAAGTAAAAGAGCGCAAAAATTCACTGAGATTGTTTTCGTTGGGTATTGGAAGCTCTGTCAGTCATCATCTAGTGGAATCTGTTGCAAGGGTCGGAAAGGGATATGCTCAGTTTGTCAGCGATCACGAGAGGATGGACAAGAAGGTTGCAGGCATGGTTAAGAATGCCATAAAATCACCTCTGACTGATTACAAAGTTTCGTGGATTGACACTGAGAGCAGCGATTCGGTTGACGCAAAGTTCCGCCAAGCACCTTATGTAATTCCAACATTGTATCAGGGAATTCGCCTGGTGATGTACTCGCTTTACGCTCCTGGTGTTGAGCCTGCACGGAATATTACGATTACAGCGCAGTCTCGTGATGGACCTATAGAAATAGCAGTGCCAATTGATCCAGTCATTCTTGAGGGTGACAAGATTCATACTCTAGCTGCCAGGAAATTAATACAAGACATTGAAGATAAGACAAGTTATCTGCATAAAGATTCGAAATATGAGGAGAAGACATTGTCATCCGAAGATGAAAAGGATGCAATTGTCAAACTTGCGATCGATGCCAGTTTGGCATCCAGGTATACAAGGTAAAAAAAAAGTCCTAACAATAAAAGAAAGGGACTTTTATGAAAAGTCACAAATTAATTAATATAACCAATACTAATACTTTTTCTCCTAGTTTCTTGGCAATCGATGAAAGAGAAAATCAAACCCTCTCGACGGCCAAAGTTCAAAAACGCGTGGTTCCCGTTTTCAATGCTCAAGACCAACTCGCCAACTATTTCTCTGTGTCTGCACAGAAAAAGTCAAAACCTGTGCTTAGAAGTCGTAGTTTTTCCTTGGTTAGATTCCCAAGAATGCGAACTTCATTTAAATCCAAAAAAACCAGCAGCGCAATTAGTGAGAAGGCTTGCGCTCCTTGCGAAGCGAGTGTGTACGGGGTGGTGGACGCGGACGTATTATCACAAGATGCTAATTTAACATCGGTAAAGGGATGCGCAGCGGTGGCTGAATCTTGCAAAAAGTCCGAGTCGAAAACAGATGCGAAACTAGCTAAAATAGAAACTCTCTACGTCTTTATCAAATTCCAATCGTTTGATGGACTTTTCAAACCGACTACTAGTCTGTCGGAATTTTTCTTACAAGGACAACGTAACAAGCTATTCCAAGACAAGGATCAAGATTCCGCCTGGTCCACATGTATTGCGATGGCATATTTTGAGATTGTAATGAAAGACTTTAAGGAAGAGTGGGAATTGTGTTATGAAAAGGCTAAGAAAGCATTAGATGCTTTGAGTGCGTATGACTCTGATTCTATTGAGAAGATGATTGAAGATGCTCGAAAGTGGGTCATTAAGTGGCGTACTTAATTATAAAGTTGATAGGTGGTGATGAAAATATATTCATATGTAATTTGCTTATTCTTTGATATGTAATTTAATGTCGCATGATAAATAAATTTCTTTCGAATGTAAAGTAGTTTGCCCAGAAGCTTTCTACGTTTCGTATCTGCCAGCGGCAGCAGCAAACGGTTATCTCAACGCAATCTCTGTGGCTCAGGCTCGTTTCAGAGATTATTTCACATGCACATTTTACATATAAATCTCATATTTATGAAGACGCCAAATTTTTACACGACATGTAACTATAATACCGTGGATAGAATTAGGATTGGCTAGCGGGTTTGGAGAATCTTGACTAAATTAGACCTTATTATTATTTAGAGTAATACTTAAAACTTGTTCCCATGAATTGAGAGCTTGGGTCATTGTTTGGCCGCGTCTACACAAGATGTATAAATAATCCAATGCAATTATCAATGACTGTTGACGGTTACCAGTGAAAAGACACTAGTAAACAAGATGGCTGAGATGATGCCTCAGCTTCATTTACATACCATGTTCTGGACTATTTCGATATTTCCATATAAAAGGTTAATTGTTGCGAAAGAGGATTTTACAGCAATTATTTGTTTATTCGTATTATGTACTTTTTTTCGTTGAATAAATTTATGATGCATCTGGCTAATATAACGTTAATTTAGCTATATGTAATGGTGTTATGAAAAGCACAATACGTCCTTTTCGATCTTATCCATCAGAATGTTCTTTTTCGTTAACTCGTTGTTCGTCTTCACTTTCGTCTCCACTACTGCGTGATACCTTTTCTTGAACAGTTGTAATGTTGCAACCAATATTCGTCTGCCGTTTGAATATCGTCTGTCTGACCTCTTCTAAACTTCTTATCTACCGTCATCAACATATCTCGTAGATAAGCACCGGGGAATACGAAGAGTTGTCTATGCAACATCCAACATAGGCGTCTTCAAATCATGTTTCCAATTACGAGGGATTAGTTTCTGTATCGAGGAACGAACGTGTGAATAGTAGTACCGAAGAGCTGATATGAGTTGGCAATTTTGGTACTGGCCTGAGTATACTATAGTTCGTAGGGGGAAAAAGTTTAGTAAGGTTTACGGCAATTGGCGTAAAATATTCTTTCTTTCTTTCTTTCTTTGACTTACCAATAAATGAAGACCCCTTGTGTGATGGCAAATGATATTGGTATGGCAAAATTCGATATGGCAAAGCACAGGAAATAGATGGCGCGAATGAATATCAAGTGCTTGTGGAAAAATTCGCATACGAATGACGCAAAGAGGTAGACGAAACTAATTTGGGTGAAGGCCATCGAGACTATTGTCAACTAACAAATGCAAAAATCGTACGATAAATATTTGTAGTACAAATAGAGAATTAGATAAGCAAACTTTAATATTGACGATCCCAATAAAAGACACGTGTGCAAACTTACCTTTCCTTCAACCCTTTTTAGTATCGTCAGTTTCCATTTGTTCTCGGAAATCACTCTCTCCTTCAAAATCTGTCGATGTTCGTTCAAGATCCTTTTCAGATTGTACCACATCATCCAAACGATGCCCGTATACAATCCTGACCAAACCCCCAATATCAAATATTGGATTTTGAAAAACCGTAGCGCTTTTAGCACGTCGCCTTTGTCAGCAAGCGATCCTGTAGTCCACGAAAGAGGAAGTTGGGTGAGCGCAGGGCCAATTATCTGGAAGAATCCAAGTACATCAAGGGTGTTTTTACTTGGCCTCCACAGTCTCGTCTCGTTGGATGTTGTTGGGGTCGAATAGGCTGGATCATGGCGTACAAACGAAGACAGATATCATATAATCAGTAAACATAGTTACATATCATCAGTAAACACCTCGTTTACCATATATACATAATCACATTTCGTATAGTTCAATAAAAGCACTTTTTAGTTTGCGTAAATTGGGTTAGATTGCGTACCTATGCTGATGGGTAGCATCGCGGCTAATCCGAATGCAACCACACGTGGCAAATTGTAACCAACTACAAATATAAATAGTAGAGCTTGATCATACCGACTACTACACAAGACGCTGTTCATCAATCGACTCGTACTTACGCTCTGCTCCTTTGGTGCTCGTCCATCCATTAGATAGCAACAGGGCTATGGCCCATGTCTGCACTGTTAAACGGCATATTTATTAATAAGGGTTTGCTTTCTTTGCATTCCCTCGGCTCAACACTAGTACGAATTTATCATGTGTCTCATAACCACCGCCTTTTCTCCCACTTACTAATCGAGAATACCACGACAATGATGTGGAATGCGTCCTGTGGCTTCGGTCTTAATATTCCCCTGTCTCTTGTAGGCGGGAAGAATATGTTCATCCGTCGTCTGACCACTCCGTGATACAAAAAGTATCCACTGATGATGCCGTGAATTATAGTAACCGCGAGCAATATGTAATACAAGATGACCAACGCGTTTGACTCTGGACATCCAAATATATTGATTCTAAAATCGCAGGCGCATCTCTCTTCGACTTTTCCGGTGTTTGAGTTTGTCATATTCTTACAGGTTAAGGCGAAACCGTTATCCAGAGCCATGCTCAAAAAAATATGACTTGAGCAAGATTAAGACTGATGAAAAGGCCTATCGTCTTGATGCGTCAATGTGCTACGGGAAATCAAACCACAGTTGGCTTGCTTCGCGGATTTAAGGGTCCTATCAATTAATCGCAATGAGGAAGGGGGGAGGGGGAGAAGGCGGGGGAGGAGGGGAGGAGGAGGGTAGTAGGGGGCAGGAAAAGGAATCAGGAGAAGTCAAAATAAGTGTGAGAGAATAAATTTTTTAGGAGATGTGACAAACTGGACCAGTTTAACTATATTGGGGGTGAATTAAAGGTGAGTGTTAACAGAACATCAACCATTCAAATCGTCAGATTACCTTTAACATAAGACCATGTTTCAATTAGTATTCATATATGCGTTGTATGTTATCTGGGGTTTTAGATTATAGTGGCTAATTAGTCGCAATATCAAAAAATCGTACTGATTTCATGTTTTAGTATTATTATAGATTTCGTTGGTTTCTTTTCCTCTCTCTTTCTCTCTCTCTCTTTTTGACGAAATTTTTGATCGACCAGTAAGGCGATAGTGCACATGCTCAACTTCTAATTCTAGTTATACACAGGGCCCGGAAGGAGACGGTGCAGACACTTTTCTTATCCGGGTTCATATGTATCTAATTATGGTAATGCACATTCTACATTGATATATAAAGAAGTTCTGTTATCTTTATTTTTGTATTTGTAATAATTCAAGATTTACATTTAGTCAAAATCTATGCCAAAACGCCAATTAAAGCCTCTGAACCAGTAACAATCTTAATCCGTTCCGATTGAACGTTTTCATCTTCTTGACGTCAACTTTATTGATAGTGTCGTTTAAGTCAATAGCTTTGTCAAGTTTTCTACGCTTATTGGATCATCTATCGGCAATTGCTGGATGAGATTAAACGACCTCAATTTCAGTTTCGTGAATTGAGTACTTGACAACCGCAATTCAGCGAAGACTTTAATAGACCTGTAGACAAGAAATACATAACGATTGTTGCACAAACTTTTATGTGCCAATATCGAGGGATTTATCGTTATGTCCAAACAATCTTACTATTATAATTTCCGTGCAGCAAAAAAGCTTTGTTATATCCAGTATTATAATACGACAGTGTTTTGAAACTGTAAACTAGAAAATTAAATTATGAATTAATCGTCTAAACTAATATCCTCTTCCTCAGAGGGCCTTAGTTTCACACCTCACGGGATATATGTTACTGTACTGTTGGATATCAGTATTTAGTAATGGCAAACAGTTAACATCACGGCGTAGTCAATCTTGACAATTAACCAAAGTTTCAGAACTGCCTTGTTAAAATACCCCTCCCCAGGAGTTATCCTCACGTGATAACATAAATTCTAACAGCGCATAATAATAAGAGTTCGATAAATTAAACAGCGGACTCAAATTCGACATTACCAAACTGCCGTTTTAGATTTGTACTGAAGTAATTGAGAGTTTATTCTTTCTTGATTAATATGTGATTATCAATATAGTCGAGGTTCTTTTTAATTGTTTGTTTAAAGTAATCGGTTGATGGTAACCTATATGGAAATTCTGTTTCTCTTTCGGTTTTGTCCCAATAAATAAATTTGACGTGAAAATACGTGAAAATAGCTCCCAGAGCAATCATCTCATTTACGTCCCAATACTTTGCACAAACTACGATCTCATCTCTGTGACTATGCGCGTCTTTCAATGAAACATCATAGAGATTATTATCAAAGCATTTTTTCACAGATTCTAAGGAGACATCGTTTAAATTGCATGTTCTTTGAAGATAAAACTTGAAGGTTTGTTGTTCAGACAACTGCGATAATCTTGTGCCAATAGATTCTTCTGATCTAGAGCAAATAAACTATTGCAGAAAAGTATAGTAAATAAAAGTAAAAGAAAGAAAGTATCTTATTGACAACACAAAGTCTTACCTGCCTCCCAATGTATTCCAAGGCTGACCGAACATCGCAAATTCCTTCAAGTTTAAGCAATTTTGCTGTGCATTCACGTACTTCAAATTCTCTCTTCGGCACGTTAATAAAGACGTTGTCCATAATATATTCACCCTCCATCTTCAATCTTTTTGCGTCATTTACATATTCATACTTTTTCGTTTCTATGTAATTTTTTGGAAAAGGTGGATCAGGATAAAGAAATTTATGTTTTTTACTTTCCATTGATGCCCTCTTCTTCGTATCCCTTTTTGCTGCGAGTTCTGCAATTCTCTTCTTTGGCTCCTCCAAGTTTTGTCTAAGTTTGTCATGAACTTTCCAATAATCAACACCTTTACTACCGAGATCGGGGACGTGTTTATAATCAAACTTTGCCAGCCTCATTGTAAGAACTTTTATAAATGTTATCGCAAGGTCAAATGCATCCCTCCACTGTGTCAATTCCTCGGCTGGGACAGTATATTGGCTGCTGTCTTTTCCCTTTGAAATAGCATCTGTAGTGGGAAGATATTTTTGAATCCCAAAGTGTGCCAACACCTTTCTGGAATGGAGATCGGCATAGTATCGTAGTATTCGAGGCGTCAACTGATGAGAAGTAAAAAACATTATCGATAAGCCCGGCAAATGAAAATAATGTGAAACAAGTGAAACAAGAAAAAAAAGGAAAAAAGAAAGCTCAGATCATGCGAAATTGATATGCCCAATAAAAAATTGCAGTAGCGTGATCTGTTTTAAAATTTAGAACGTGATCTGTTATTTTGACATGTCATAAAAGTTCCTCGCGATAGTTATTTTGACATGTCAGCACTTCTACAAGTCTGTATACCACAAATTTATCCTTAAAAGGTATTTCTAACCAAATATGGTATCGAGCCATCGAAGGGAGATCCTTTGCCAAATTTGTATTTGTCATTTCCAAATTCGATTTGGTAATGGAGAGAGGTTCATTGAATATACCGAGACCTTATCTATTATGTATCGTAATAATCTATATACTGCATTGGTCATGATATGCTTGAATGGGCGATACTATATATAACGATAATAGATTGATGTCTCCTATAGCCATTTTAGGACTACTTGGCAATCAATATCTGATACGTGTGATTGTCACATTAGCGACGTGCGAGTTATTACCAAAGCGTTTAACAAACAATTGACGTTAATACGCGAAGAGTTTCACTATCAAGAGAGATCCCACTCCCGTCTGAAATGTCAAACAAAGAAAATAAAAATTCACCATCTTCAGCTTGAATCCAATGATCAGTAATATGAATGCTAATAACGGAAAGCAATTCATGAAGCGGGGTTTGTCCAGCAAGAAATTTTGGGCCAACATCTGGTAGCAGTAAATACAGTATATTAACCCACAATCAGCATTACATTCAGTTAATGCCTTTTTAATGCGTGCCATCATCCCACGCATGACTTATTTCGTCTGTTAGTGGCTACCATAAACTACTCACCCTCTCTCGACCAATTACTAATTACGTACTTGCATATTAATATAGTAAACAATAATGGAGGTTGTCTCTTTAACTATGTATAAAACTTGCTTTTCAAAGATCTCTGGTCAGATAAATATCTGTACGGTTTTGAATTAGTATAGGTTGATAACCATTATACTTAAACCTACAACAGGAAACTGTTTCGTAACACTAATTGATATTTCCAACGAGCAAAATGTCGTTTTCAGGATACAGTGGGATCCAGGAGAATTTTGTGGTAGTTGCATATTACTATATAGAACAGACTAAATAACTACTACGCAGTTCACGATGTACAATAAGGCCGGAGGGATCACTCGAGACAATTTAAATTTTGCATGTTAATATGTAAATGAATATTTGTGTATTTATTAACTCTCAGTATACTTATTATATACAGTAATTGATACAGAATAGCTCTTGCGACTGTCGCGCATGTCCTTGTTCTTCATATCCTATATTTGCTACAAGTCGCAATCCCTTGCCCACCAGGGCTACAAAAATGCTCGCCAAAATGACACAATATTAATTATTCGACATAAATACCGAGTCATGATTAATTTAAGAACTGGTTATTACTATGTTGTTGTAATTTCGTCAAATACTCTTGCGCTTTCGCTTTTTCCATGTGACTTTTCGGTGCTACAATTACATCGTTCAACATCTTTCGACCCAGCATATAACTATCTCTATCGCCTAACTTCGCTCCATAATCTGCGAGATCTTTCATGCAGCGTAGGTTACCTTGTCGTGCACCTTCTAAGAACAATGGTAAACACTCAGTCTTCATTCTTTTCAGAATTTCTTCGGCATCTGTTTCGTTACCGTTATTCTGCAATTGCTTTCGTATTTCTGTGGCGGCTGCCATCTTCTCTTGAGCACGGTACTGAGTTGCCTCACTGCATCCCAAATCTTCTGCTACTTCCAAATAGCTCACTCCTACATTGGGATCCTTAGCACCGCGATTGAACTGTATTCTAGAGTCGATAAGATATCGGCCAACATAAAAGTTTGCTTCAGGGTCTGGTTCAGCCTTATCAGCCAGTATCCTGAATTGTTCGAAGGCTTCCTTGTAATGTCTTTGACCGTGTAACTTGCGTGCTGTTTGCATCGTTACGTGTGGATGTATAGGAGCGTATGGATCGTATTCAGTGAAGCTACCACTAGATATATTTGTGGTATCGGTAGCATACGAAAATTCTTGACCGTATGGCCTTTCGTACGTCTTTGCTAGCTTTTCTAATTTTCGTACAACGTATGGCATTGTCGGACGACTCCCGGGAACCTGTCTCCAACATTTCTGCATTATACTCGCATACTTTTCTGGTGTACCAGGAACTATTGGCGGGCGTGGAGCGTCCTGATCTTTGAATCCATCTGAATTTTTTAATGCGGTATATACTTCACCAATGGATTTATCTGGGAAAGGAATCTCGTGAGAAGTTATTTCCCACATAAGCATGCCAAAGCTACACATTTAGACAATAAATACAAGTAAATATAGTTGCTTATAATGATGTCAACCTCTGTCAATAGTTTGAAATTCTATTGTAGCTATCACCCGAACAATGACATTACAAACTTACATACCTGTATACATCGGCCGACGTAGAGTAAGGAAGCGTGCCATCCTTCGTTTTTTCAGGACATAACCATCTGACACCATCAGTCTCTTCAGCAACCGAAGTTGTGATATCTTTTATTCCCCTGGCACGATGATAGTTTGCTAATTTGACGTTGTCGTTTATATCCACAATCACGTTATGACTAAATTTCGAAAAAAAAAGAAAGCGAGTTGGCTGAACACGTTCTAGAAAAAAGCCTCATTCGACATTGCAATACTCGTTTTCCTACCTGCGAATGTCATGGTGCAGAATGAGCTTACTGTGACAAACGGCAAGCGCACTTGCTAATCGAGCTGCCCATTTAATCTTTAGTGTCCACGGAATAATTCTGTGTGTCTTAAGGTATTCGTAGAGCGTTCCCTTTCCTGGCCACTCTGTAATCATGTAATAAATTCCTCCGTCCAGTAGAATGCCGTAGCTATGATAAACGATAATACTTGTCAGCAAATAGATAATTAAAACGGGTAATATACGATAAATACGTACTTTTTCATGAATAAATCCCCATTCAATTTGGAGCTAATAAAGGCCTGTACCCAGTACTTACTAATGTCGTCGTTCGCGTTTGCAATTTTAACTTTTGCAGCATAAAGACCACCACAATATATAACTTTTGTAGGACCATCACCATTAGGTTGAGCATCGCGAGCGGGATTGATATGTTCTGGGCTAATCGTTAAGTCGGCTATTTTTTCCCGTGATAATGGCACGCCATGGCAAATTGCAGTAGTCATGAAAGAATCTTTAACTTTCGCCGTCACCACGTCTTTCACAGTTGTGATATCAATTTGGATAGCGTTAATCTTATTATCCAAGTCCATCATGTGTTCATCCATCTTCTCCGCGATTCCCAATATCTCCCTAAGACGTTTATTGTTTTCCAAGTTTACCCTTAGGTTAGCAGCATTGAGAGCATTGTCCAGGTCGGTAAATAGGTCACGTATCTTTCGATCTATCTGTGAATTAAAAAATTTATAGCAGAAAAGAAAATTCAGCTTATCTTTCGATATAGGAAAAACTCATATTAAAAATAATTTTCGTTAATGTTTACGTTATCAGCATTAAGGATAGTTAATAGTTTTCTCATTTTAGGCTTGGTATATTGGACCAGAAACTTTTCCCAGTTTTTCAGCGCTTTCATCAAAGTTGGGGTATGTTCCTCGTTTATTGTTCCAGTATTGTCACGGATTGTCTGCTTCACTTCTGTCATATACATCTTCATGTAAGGTAATGCTTCTCTATTATATCTTGCGGTGTCGATGAGCACAACGATTCGCTCAATGATAGTGAATAGTTCGGCTACACCGGGAAAATACACCACTTTCGCTACAGGCGAAATCAATTCTATGGAAGTACCGATAAACCCTCTGATTCTTTTCGACATCTTGAAATAGTTAATTTAACGGTCTTAGTTAGCTGTCGACTTTTATATACGGTTAAGAGAATGATGAGTTCTTATTAATTACACTTACGATTGAACGTTAAAAGTATGAGTTACTGGTGAAAAGGGTGATGGCTTAAATGCTCGGAATATGACCTCCGTCGTTTGTTCATCGTTTCTTTTTGTTACACCAAATGCCAAGCACAGGCCAATAAGAAATAATGTGACGTTTGCTATCAGCCCATATTTACTTTTGGAATAATCCATTAGAATACATACCTTTCGTTTATGATTCTCTAGAAACATCATCAGCCGGGAATAGGCAGACCCAATTAAATGTGAATATACAAATACATAGGATGACTCGGGATCAACAGATGAAGTGCAAATGCTATTAAGCAATGTAATTAGCATGTTATCTGTCCCACGAATCAATATTTATTTGTTGAAGCAAATCTTGATTGTGTATTGTTGCCACACATTACGATTAGATGGTTTTTTCATCAATACGTCACAGACATGCTGCGCAATATACAATAGGACGCAGTCGACGTTTCAGGCATCATTCTTGCAAATGCCAATTTATAAAAGATCGACTCATGAACAAACTCCCGGATTGGGAGTTGCTAAAAGTTCAATTGAACGGCTATATAATAGAAAATGGGCACAATATTTATTGGACTTGAGTTTACTTTGCTGCTGCTGTCAATGGAATACACGAAAATGATAGTTTCTGTAAACTATATTTTGTTTCATCTGTGATGTGATCTTGTTCTCATTAGTATATCTGAGAAATTATTATCGATTATCATCATCGGAATCCATGTGACCAGTTACACACGCGCGCGAATGAATGCTATAATTTAATACATGCAAAAAAAAGAAATAATGCCAAAACGCAAGGACTCCAAATTCAAAGCTTCTATTACCCAGAAAGTTTCGTCTGCGCCTTCCTCTCCAGTAGCTTCTCTCGATTCCGAAAATGAGCCACTTGTCATTCGTCGCCTTAAACGCCGAAAATTCCTCGAAGACACTAGCGGTCCTCACGTCGATAGAACGCTACGTACTCAAATAAATAATCAGACTAGCAAGTGCCCGGAGGCGTCTTCCACGGGAAACAAATCAAGAACAGCTGCAAACGCGAACATGGAAGTTGCCACAGTTCATGATCATATCCTTCGTAATTTCAAATTGAGAAGAATTGTAAAAGAGAATCATGGACACGATATAAACGCGTTGAGTTTTTTTTTTTTTAATTTGGGCAACTACGAGGCACCCGTTAGGGTTGAGTATATAAAGTCGTATGATAAAGTGGGTATGTTGAGAGACGTCGCGGACACAAGTAATATAATGCTAGCGTAGGTCAGTTGAGAAGAAGGCTTTAAAATAGTGGACAGGGGCTGCTAATCAAAACGAGCATTTAGTAATTAATGATCAGAATTCAACAGTGGATCTAGGGCTCGGATTTTTGCCCTTGGTTAATTATTTGTTGGCTAATTGTGCTCTGTTTGTAGGCTAACAGATTTGACAATGAGCACATGGGAGATCATCTCGACATAATGTCCAACTTTGCTTTGAACAAAAAACCTGAAGATGTGACAAGTTTATTTTCTTTCAAATGCGAAACTATTTCTTTATATAATAGCACTCATTTAACCAATCTTCTTTGCCTAATTCAGGAACTACTAACATGCTGCTGGCTCTGCAGACAAGATGATGTTCTACCAAGTTAGTGCTGGTAATCTATATCCTCAGTCTTGCCTTATCTCGAACGATTAAGACACTTACTGGTCACACTGGTAACGATAATTTCTTCTCCCCTTTTACAAGTATTTGAGACAATTCTTCCAGAGTCGTCTATTTCTATACAGATACGATAGCAGACATCCAGAAGTATCCTAAAGATGATCAGCATTTGCTATCTGCTTCGAGAGATGGAAGTGTGCGGATATGGCATGTGGATGATAAGTCTTGTTCGAGATTAAAGCTTTGGTTGTGGTTAGTTGATTACTCTGTTTCTTGTGGGGTAATGAAATAAGGAGAAGAGTATACATAAAAAGGTATACGATTGAACATACGATTGAACATGAACAAATGCCGATTGGAGCTTTAATTTTCTTTTTCTTAGTGTTGGCATCCATCGGGAGAGACATTTATTACTGGGAGTTATCACGGCGATATAAGATACTGGACTCCGCCCGAGCCACCGAAGCGTCATCAGGAATTGATACTCAAACATGTAAAATTATATGCATACCGGACAGATCGGTGAGTTCATTGTATTATTTGATAGCTGTAATGACTTGTATCTGTATAAGATGCCGGTCATACTCATAGCATATGTTGATGTACATTATTGCGCTATTCTTGTTACTTCATACTGTCTGGTAATCGCATTCATCTCTTTTACCCATTAGATTAACAAATGGGAATGTGTTATCCAAGTCGACAAACGGAAAGATTGAATACTGGAACCCGAAAAGCATGTCGAAATTCGTTCAGATAACGCTCTACTCATATATTTGACCATACAACTTTCATAATTTATACTCATTTTATTCCTATTCTCAGTCTTGACGAAAGATAACTGTGTAGGAACAAGCAATCGTCAGTCAATGAAATCCGTGAAATGCTGTTTATTCTCGGGAGATTACAAGTGAGCTGTCAGACTAACGAGGGAGGTCGTTCATTATTTTATTGTGCTTCCCGAGCTCATTCTATATCATCGTTCCTACCTACTAGATCTGTCATTGCGGCCGGAGACGATGCTTATATATGGTGATTTGACTACATCAGCGATGAGACACTGAAGGAATGGGAGAATTGGAAGGCCAATTGATGTAAAATGCTCTTGATGGGCGTCAGTGTATGCGAAAGTGGAACATTGAAACAATATCATTAATAATGAGAGAAACAAAATAATGCTGATCAGTAGAAGATGGGGTTTAAATAATTTGGATGCAAAAATAAAATTATCATTTAATTTAATGAATAGCATGATGTAATAATACAAGAAACTCATAGAAGATAGCGATTAATCCATTTCTCTTTCTATGCTTGAACGAAACAAATTACGTCACGTTTTCAATACGTTGGCACACTGTAGGCGATGTTACCAGATTATTGGCCTTCATTCTATAAAAGCAACATTTCAGAATTAAGTTGTCTAAACATTAGAACTCTTGAATTTTCAAAGATTGCATCAGCTAATCTTGGTTATGCTTAGAGAACTACAATCCCAATTCCAATGTTAAATTATAATTGAGTAGGGTGAGAAATGGAAACTATGAACTGCCAAAAGCAATTATAAAAGATGACAAAGAATGTATTGGAAGCAAAGAGGCCATCTTCCTTGAAAGTCGTTAATGTTCATTTGTTCATGTTTAGATGCTGTGGTGAGAGCGCTTTCAAATCTTATAATTGGAAATAAATACAAAAATGGTGCTATAATATAAAATATACATACAAAAATTAACGATTATTCACTATATATATACATGAATAACAAAAAACTTTGTCCAGGCATGAAATGCATAATTATAATAGCTGTCGGTGTGGAAGAATAATCAAAAATTCCGATTCACATTCTTCTGTTCTAGAAATAACAATGCTTCTTAATGTTCCGATACAACCACGCGGTGTGTCACTAGATGCCAACTCCTCGATATCAGAAATCCGCGGGGACTTGTTTTTGTTAGCGTTTTTTGCCGGCTTCATTCTCAATCCACAAATACGTTTTTGTGCTGTTGTAACCTCATTAAAAAATCTTGTGCTTTAGCTTTCTGCTTAGGATCTTTCGTTTTTGCAATTACGTCATCCAACATTCTAAGACCGTCCACGTAACTCTGTTTATCTCCTAGCTTTGCCCCATAATCAGCTAAATCTTTCATACAACGCAGATTGCCGTGACTCGCACCATTACGAAACAATGGTAAACACTCAGTCTTCATTCTATCCAGAATTACTTCGGCATCTGTTTCGTCACCCGTATCCTGCAATTGCTTTCGTATTTCTTTGGCGGCTGCCATCTTCTCTTGAGCACGGTACTGAGTTGCCTCACTGCATCCCAAATCTTCTGCTACTTCCAAATAGCTCACTCCTACATTGGGATCCTTAACGCTTCCTCCAGCTCCGCGATTGAACTGTATATTAGAGTCGATAAGATATCGGCCAACATAAAAGTTTGCTTCAGGGTCTGGTTCAGCCTTATCGGCCAGTATCTTGAATTGTTTGAAGGCTTCCTTGTAATTTTTTTGACAGTGTAACTCGCGTGCTGTTTGCAACGTTACGTGTGGATGTGTAGGAGCGTATGGATCGTATTCAGTGAAGCTACCACTAGATATATTTGTGGTATCGGTAGCATACAAAGATGCATTATCGTATGGCTTTTCGTACGTCTTTTCTAGTTTTTCTAACTTTCGTACAACATACTGCATTGTCGGACGACTCCCGGGAATCTGTCTCCAACATTTCTGCATTATACTCGCATACTTTTCTGGTGTACCGGGAACTATTGGCGGGCGTGGAGCATCCTGATCGTTGAATCCATCTGAGTTTTTTAATAAGGTATATACTTCGACAATGGATTTGTCTGGGAAAGGAATCTCGTGAGATGTTATTTCCCACATAAGCATGCCAAAGCTACATATTGAGACAATAAATACAAGTAAATATAGTTGCTTGTAATAATGTCAAACTCTGTCAATAGTTTGAAATTCTATTGTAACTATCACCCGAACAATAACATTACGAACATTCGTACCTGTATACATCGGCCGACGTAGAGTAAGGAAGCGCGCCATCCTTCGTTTTTTCAGGACATAACCATCTGACACCATCAGTCTCTTCAGCAACCGAAGTTGTAATGTCTTTCATTCCTCTGGCACGATGATAGTTTGCTAATTTGACGTTGTCGTTTGTATCCACAATTACGTTATGACTAAATTTCGAGAAAAAAAACAACGAAAAATGAGTTAGCTGAACACGTTACTAGAAAAAAGCTTAATTGACATTGTAATACTAGTTTTCCTACCTACGAATGTCATGATGCAGAATGTATTTATTATGACAAAAGGCAAGCGCACGTGCTAAACGAATTACCCATCTAATCTTTAGTGTCCAGGGAATAATTCTATGTGCCTTAAGGTATTCGGAGAGCGTTCCCTTTCCTGGCCACTCTGTAATCATGTAATAAGTTCCTCCGTCCAGTAGAATGCCGTAGCTATAATAAACGATAATATTCGTCAGCATATAGATAATGAAAACGGGTAATATATGATAAATACGTACTTTTTCATGAATAAATCCGTATTCAATCTGGAGCTAATAAAGGCCTGTACCCAGTACTTACTAATGTCATCGTTCGCGTTTGCAATTTTAACTTTTGCAGCATAATTACCACCACAATATACAACTTTTGTAGGACCATCGCCATTAGGTTGAGCATTGGGAACAGGGTTGATCCATTCTGGGCTAATCGTTAAGTCGTCTATTCTTTCCTGTGATAATGGAACTCCATGGCAAATTGCAGCAGTTATGAAAGAAGTTTTAACTTTCTCCGTCACCGCGTCTTTTACAGCTGTGATATCAATTTGTATAGCGTTCATCTTATTATCCAAGTCCATCATGTGTTCATCCATCTTCTCCGTGATTCCCAATATCTTCTTAAGACCTTTATTGTTTTCTAAAGTTACCCTTAGATTAGCAGCATTGAGGGCATTGTCCAGGTCGGTAAATAGGTCACGTATCTTTCGATCTATCTGTGAATTAAAAAATTTATAGCAGAAAAGAAAATTCAGCTTGTCTTCGATATAGGAAAAATCGTATTAAAAAACATTAATGTTTACCTTATCAGCATTAAGGATAGTCAATAATTTTACCATTTTAGGCTTGGTATATTGGACCAGAAACTTTTCCCAGTTTTTCAGCGCTTTCATCAAAGTTGGGGTATATTCCTCGTTTATTGTTTCACTATTGTCACGGATTGTCTGCTTCACTTCTGTCATATACATCCTCATGTAAGGCAATGCTTCTCTATTATATCTTGCGGTGTCGATGAGCGCAACGATTCGCTCAATGATAGTGAATAGTTCGGCTACACCGGGAAAATACACCACTTTCGCTACAGGCGAAATCAATTCTATGGAAGCACCGAGAAACCCTCTGACTTTTTTCGACATCTTAATTTAACGTTCTTAGTTAGCTATTACTATCAACTTTTATCTACGGTTAAGAGAATAAATTTTTATTAGTTACACTTACGATTGAACGTTAAAGGTACGAGTTACTGGTGAAAGGGATGATGGTTTAAAAGAAATCCTCGGAAATGTACCTCCGTCGTTTGTTTAACCGTTTCTTGTTGTTACACCAAAATGCCAATAAGAAATAATGTGACATTTGCTATTTGGAATAATCCATTAGAATACATACCTTCCGTTTATGATTCTCTAGAAACATGGAATAGGCAGACCCAACTAAATGTGAATATACAAAGACATAGGATGAAATGTAAATGCTTTTATATTTAAACAATGTAGGTTAGCATGTTATCAGTGGCTTCCACAAATCAATGTTTCTTTGTTGAAGTAAATCTTGATTGTGTCATTTAATGTATTTGCCACACATTACATTTACATGTCTTTTCATCAATAAGTCACAGGCAATTTACAATAGGACGCAGTCGACGTTTCAGGCATCATTCGTTGCAAATGCCAATTTATAAAAGATCGAGTGAATAATCTCATGAACAGACTCCCCAGTTTACTAGTACTAGAAGTTTAATTGAAAGCTGCTGAGGACTATTATAATATATAATAGAAAATGGGCACAATATTTTTATTGGACTTGAGTTTACTTTGCTGCTTCTGCTGTCAATGTTGAATACACGAAATGATAGTTTCTGTAAAATATATTTCGTTTCATCTGTGGGGTGATCTTGTTCGTATTTACAGTATTAATATATTATCGATTATCATCATCGGAATTCATGTGATCAGTTACACACAACTATAATTTAATACATTCAATGCTAATTCGCAATAATGCCAAAACGCAAGGACTCCAAATTCAAAGCTTCTATTACCCAGAAAGTTTCGTCTGCGCCTTCCTCTCCAGTAGCTTCTCTCGATTCCGAAAATGAGCCACTTGTCATTCGTCGCCTTAAACGCCGAAAATTCCTCGAAGACACTAGCGGTCCTCACGTCGATAGAACGCTACGTACTCAAATAAATAATCAGACTAGCAAGTGCCCGGAGGCGTCTTCCACGGGAAACAAATCAAGAACAGCTGCAAACGCGAACATGGAAGTTGCCACAGTTCATGATCATATCCTTCGTAATTTCAAATTGAGAAGAATTGTAAAAGAGAATCTTGGACACGATATAAACGCGTTGAGTTTTTTTTTTTTTTAATCTGGGCAACTACGGGGCACCCGTTGGGGTTGAGTATATAAAGTCGTATGATAAAAGTGGGCATGTTGAGAGACGTCGCGGACACAAGTAATATATTGGCTAGCGTGGGTCAGTTGGAGTAAGAGAAGAGGGCTTTAAATATGAAATAGTGGACCGGGATAACGGGGGCTGCTAATCAAAACGAGCATTTAGTAATTAATGATCAAAATTCAACAGTGGATCTAGGACTCGGATCTTTGCCCTTGGTTAATTATTCGTTGGTTAATTGTGCTCTGTTTGTAGGCTAACAGATTTGACAATGAGCACATGGGAGATTATCTCGACATAATGTCCAACTTTGCTTTGAACAAAAAACCTGAAAAGAGGTGACAAGTTTATTTTCTTTCAAATGCGAAACTATTTCTTTATGCAGTGTGTAACAAAGTTTTTGGAATTTTTTATTTACTCATTTCTCAACAACCACAGCACAAAACTTAACAAAGAAGATATGATATAAAATTAACAATTTATCCTTTCCCCATTGTTTTCTATCATCTCCGTCTCATTGATCTGATACAGTTAATTAGAACGCTATTTGAAATTTTATCCCATTCTTCGGCCATATACTACTCTAATTCTGAAAGATTTTAGGCATGCACATTTCTACATTTCTTTTAACAATTGCCCAAATATTTTCAATTGGGTTTAAGTCTGGACTGTTGGAGGGCCAGTCCAAAAGTTTTCGCTTAAAAATGCCCGAGCAACATGACTTGTATGCTTCGGATCATTGTCTTGTTAGAAGCGCCAATTGTTTCTAAAAAGTACGTCGATTTCTTGCTTACGACTTTGCAAAATATCAACGTAAAAATTCGCATTCATAGTATTTCTAAACAAAATAGAGAAGTTTTCCCGCGTATACAAAATCCTCCCCACGCAAAGATTTGGTCGTTCGCCCTTATACCATTGAGTTATTGTGTTTCTGAATAACTGAAAAGCAGTTTCATCAGAAAACAATGTGGTGTCCCAATTGTCATTGAGGTGTCTGGTTGCCCAACTAACACGAGCTTCTTTATGAGCAACAGTAAGCATAGGCGTCTTTTAGAGGCAGACTATTTTTATAAGCCAATCTTGTTAAATGTCTTAAAACTGTCACGTGGGACACCTTCGTGACAATTTCTTGTAGACAGTCTTGGATTATGGCGCAAGTATTGAGCTATTGCTCTTGATTCATGTGTGGTAACTTTCTTGGGGCGACAACTTGCTAATTTTCTTGAACTATACCCTTTTTTATTCAGTTTTTTAAGATTATAATAGATAGTTGATATTGTGATGCCACAATTGTAATATGGTTTTCTTTGTTAGAAGATGTCATCGTAAAAGCCATTTCTCAATGAAAACAAAACAAACAATCATTTTAAACTTTATTTGTTTACAGTTTGGGACAATTAGTTTACGTGTTTAAAATTTGACGTGCATTGCTTTTATTTTGGAAGAGCTATTAACATTGAAGTACGCGAAAAAATTCCAAAAACTTTTGTTACACACTGTATAATAGCACTCATTTAACCAATCCTCTTTTGCCTAATTCAGGAACTACTAACATGCTGCTGGCTCTACAGATAAGATGATGTTCTAGCTAGTGCTGGTAAATCAGCCTCAATCTACACTACCCTACCATAAATCACCGGATTTTTTGTCACGTGGATCAAATGATAATTTTACACAAGGGGGTTTTT